CCCGTCCCTCCCCGAGGCCGGAGGGAACGGGGACGGTGCCTGCAGAGTGCAGGCACATGCAGGGACAGAGCCTTCGCACCAGCTCTGCCGCTGCTGAGGTCTCTCCCAGGTGTGCCCGTCCTGAGGGCATCCCCTCGGACAGAGAGGCCAGGCTTGGTTAAATGAGTCAAATGGGTTTAAGCAGTCGAACAGAAACAACTATTGTAGTGCACCTTTTTTTTTTTTTTCTCCCCTCTTTGTGTGTTAATCCTTTCAGATGTAAAATTGTGCAGAGATAAAAATATTTTCTGGATAGGAATTTGCTGGCTAAAGCATTGTAAGGAAAACCTTGGAGGCAAAGCAACCGGAGGGTATGGAATAAGCCATCCTGTTGATGGCAGTGCCCAGGGTCCTGGGTGGCATCAGTTTCCTTTGGATCAATTCAATTCATTACACGCCTGAAGAAGAGCGGCTCAGTCCACCTTGCATGGCTGTTACCTTGCGGCTCTGGTGGTGCAAAGGTGTGCACTGAGCTGGCCAGGCTCCCGGTGGGTCACTCCAGGGACAGCCAGGAGCACCCCAGTTCCCGTCTCTGGGCCATTTTCTGGATGCTGTGTGCAGCCATACTGACATTTGCTTTTCCCTCCTGCCCACTCTGGCTCCAGCCCTTTGCCGAGGGCTTGTACTGCCATTTTCCTGCACTTCCCAGCTCAGACAAAATGGAGGCTCTGCAGGAATGAATAACTACCACAGCCTTAGCCTTCTAAAATCAGAGAGAATTGCCTTTTTTGTGAAAAATTATAATTTTGATGACAGAAAAAAGTCAGCATAGCCCACGCTAAAAGGCAGAATCTAATTTTTTTTTTTTCTGTGAGCACACTGGTGCAGTGGTGTTCATTTCCTCGCTGAAATGTAAATGTTCATGCACCTTGCACTGTGATGTATTGCCATAAAAGACACTGAATTTCAAATCACCAGCACACCATGTGACACAGGGATGTAACAGCAATCCGTCTTTATTTGAGGCAGCCCGTTTCTGAAATCTCACTTAGGGAGATTCCCAGTTGCCATTAGGAAAGCAAAATAAAATTAATCTAAATAATTCTAACTTAAACCTAGAAAATTAATGATGGATGAAAGACAGGGTTTACAGAGCATTAATAAGAACTAGTCTGGATGCGGTGTGTGTTCTAGGGTCTGTGATTATACTGGTAATTTGACAGATTGTATCACTGCCTATCTCTGCCAAAGGATGTTTCACACCATTTAAAATGCACAGTACTTCCTTCAGAGACAGGTTGTTCTGGAATAACTCAACATCCAAAGGAAAGCTGTGTTATTTCACTCCTCTCTTTATTGATTGCATGTGTACAATCATGTGTGTATGCACACGTGCTGACTTTGCCTCAGCAAAAGCACAAAGTTTTCATGCTCATTTCTGTGTTTATCAGTCTCCTTAGAGACAGGGAATACCAAAAATGGAAAGTCTGTTCAGAACAGGGCTTAAGTGCTGAAACAAGAGACCCTGCATAAAACAAAGCATGAGCTGGTCCTTCCTCTAAAAGGTGAATTGAAATACATTTGTGTTTAAGCAATTATCTGACTTTGGGAGCTCCCTGTTGTTTCTCATTTTGAAAAGGAAAAACCCACTGAGATAAGGACAGATCTTGGTGGGCTTTGTCCAGGAAAGGTGGTTTAGGGAATCTCAAGACCAAAGGAATTGAGATTTGTAAAAATTGCATGTCTATGCTATTTCCAAGCCTGAGGACGCGGGTCTTGCCGTGTGCAGAAGGGTGAGCCAGGCCGATGTGTGCGGACATTGCTGGGTTTAGACCCGCGCAGGGTGAGATCTGCTGCTGCCCCTGACCGTGCTGCTCTCCTTGCAGGCTGTTTGCTGCCAAGTGCAGCGGCTGCATGGAGAAGATCGCGCCGACGGAGTTCGTGATGCGCGCGCTGGAGTGCGTGTACCACCTGAGCTGCTTCTGCTGCTGCGTCTGCGAGCGCCAGCTGAGGAAGGGGGACGAGTTTGTCCTCAAGGAAGGGCAGCTGCTCTGCAAAAGTGACTATGAGAAAGAGAAAGACTTGTTGAGCTCGGTCAGCCCAGACGACTCAGACTCAGGTGAGCTTTTCCCACACCTGCTCTGACTGGAAAAGCTGCATGGGTCTGTAGAGCTTTTGTATAGAAAAGTGCATCCATTTTCACATCCACTTCATCTGTATGCATGTGCCACCTATGCAAATTTGCAGGCACAGCTGAAAACATTCCTACTGGCAGTCTGCTTTCCCTAACCTGACTCTCTTCCTTAACCTCCTGCTTACTAAAAGACAAAATCTTTTTTGCTTTCATCAGTGTGTTTTTCTGTAAGATCATAAAGCATGAATCAGACTGACTCTAGCTACCCAAGGTCTCACTCAAGTAAGATATCAGTATGCTGTTCTCTGTAGGCATTCTTCCATCCACTTAACAAAATTTTCACAGGATCTTCTTCACATACAATTTCAGCACTAAACTAGGAAAATGGGCAGAGCAGTAATATGATTTTCAAGAGGAATCTCTCTGCCAATTACAAATAGTACCTTTAAAAAAGATTGCAAGTGCAACACAGACTTACTGAAGAGAATCTGAAAGTAACTGAGATGTGGGTTTGTGCCATCATAATCACACTGTTGTTTTCCAAGAAAATCAACAGTTACCATTCCATTACATGTACAAATGATATATTTGCCTCTGGTTTATGGGAAAATGTGTTACTCTATTTTAACTGGTATCAGAAATTATCCTTGATCTCTAATTTGAAAGTCATATTCTCCACATTGCTAAAATTTGTATTTCCACACCAGGAATACCCCAAGACAAAGGTGTCTGCATGGGACCAGGGCCACTCTTGGAGCAGTGCTTTAGTTATTGTCATGCTGCATTTGCAGGACCTTGAGTGCTCTGCTCAGTAAATCACAACTCAGAGGGCCTGAGGCATGTGGGGCCTCTGCTGACAGCTCCTTGACCATCAGCATACCGCGCCCCAGCCGCTGCAGTGACCCCCTGTGCCCCTGCCTGTGCCCAGCTCGCCCCTGCGCCCCTGCCTGTGCCCAGCTCACCCCTGTGCCCCTGCCTGTGCCCACCTTGCCCCCTGAGCAGCTCCTGTCCCCACACTGGGCCGGCACAGCACCTTCCCCACTGCTGTCCTCACTCACACAGCTGCTGCTGGCAGCTGCATTTGGCACCAGCCTGGAGCAGGGTGGGCTCCTCTTCGGGACCAGGCTGACTCGTGATCTGCCACCGCGGTAGCACAAACCAGTCTTGGTTTCAATTTCGTTTCCCTTCGGCACAAAGGGGAGTTTCTTAGTCCTGGAGATGCTTTTTCTCCCTCATTATTCTCTGTTAGTCCAACCCAAACCTGAAAAACAAGCTGACAAATTAAACAAGTTGTTTGTCTCCCATTGTCTAACACAGTGAAAACACTGATCTCCCAGGGGTCTGCGTGAGAGCACACAATCTGCAAAGCCCTGGCTGAGAATGTGTCCTGCTTCAATCAAATATTTATCCACTGGACACAAGAGTAACTCTCCAATGAGCAGTATTAATCCTCACAAACCTTTCCTTAGAAATGGCATGCTGGAAAGTTAATAATGTCATGGTTATTAAAATGACTGAACTTCCCTTTAATCATTAGGCCAAAGATGCTTATTAAAGTAAAAGGTAATTAGACTGCTAGGTGCATAATAATCAGACCCTAAAATGAATTAAAGTCTAATTTGTTGATTCCCCAAATGCAGTCTTTCAGTATATAAAAAATTCCATGTGTTTCTTCATATTGAAGTCCCTATAATAATGTGATAGTGTTTTCTGGAAGAAAAATCAGTAGTCTGGTCAAATAAAATATGCTCACTTGAAAGGTTGATTTTCTCAACAAAATGTGTATTTACCCATCAACCTTTGCCACTGTGCTTGAGATTTCCCAGGACAATATACTAACACATGTAATATCACCAGATTGTATGAGTATTCAGAATTTAATTATAGAAAATACAAATAATCTCTTTGGTCTACACAAGTACATAGATACTTGTATGCATTTACTGAAAAAGAGAAGTTTGTGCTTGTACATACAGACACATTTTAATGCACAGAGGAAGATTACTGATGTTTTCTGTGGAAAGTAGAAATGAGATGGAAAAGATTATATTTAATATTATTGCTGGAGCTTCAAAACATTCAAAACAGTATTCAATAACTGGAATCTGTGCTATATTGAGTTAGATGGGCTTTGAGATACTTGTGTGATACTTGCTTTATGCTGTTTTGGTGCTGTAGCTGTGCGGGCAGATAATGCTTCAGGAGAAGCTGAAGTTCAGCTGTGAAGGTGAAGGTGTTTATCTGGTGCTGAGATTGGGACAGGTGAACACATGGGACCAAGAGGTGCTGGAAAGGCACAAAGTGTCCCTGTGCCCAATTCCTGGAAATACTGAAGCATTTTCCGAGTTTCCATCCCCTGATCAGGACCTCAATTAAAAATTGAAAACCTTGTTTTGCTTTTGTGGCATGTGATTTAGGCAGAGCACACAGATCTGAGAGAGTCTCTTCCTGCCCACAGCTGCTTTAGGCATTCAAATAACCATGGGACAATAGTTGAACCTGTTGACTGAAGAGCAGTTCTCAAACATCCTGTTTTCTTGGTGGAACAAGTGCAATTATATATCCTTTTTTCACCAGTCAAAAGTGATGATGAAGACGGAGATGTTAAGCCCACCAAAGGCCAAGTAACCCAAGGAAAAGGAAGTGATGATGGGAAGGACCCAAGAAGACCTAAACGACCAAGGACAATACTTACCACACAGCAGAGACGAGCATTCAAGGCATCCTTTGAAGTGTCTTCTAAGCCCTGCAGAAAGGTAGGAGCTCCAGCAGGGCCCGGCCAGCCCTGACACCAGGCCACAGCCGCAGACAGCCCTGCCCCTTCCCGGGGGAAAGCAGGGCACTCTTTTTGCACACAAGTCTTTTATGGGTAAATTTGGCGTCATTTTCCTCAGCTCACACTCTCTGCTCAGTAGTTACAGAACTGGTAGCGCCATTGGGGCAGAACTTGACAACACCATGCAAAAATATGACGAATTTTTAAAAGTAATTCCATACATGCAATTTTTGTTCTAAGTACAAACATTCCTCTTAACAAAACTGATTGGTGGTTTTTAGGTTGCTTTTTTTTTTTAACTTATGAAAAATTGCATCATTAAACATTTCCTCCTGCAGGTCAGAGAAACATTGGCAGCTGAAACAGGGCTCAGTGTGCGAGTCGTCCAAGTCTGGTTTCAAAACCAAAGAGCAAAGGTAGGCTGTTTGTCCCATCCTCAAAAGTCAAATGCAGGCTGTGCCTCAACATGGGCTCTTGCCCTGGCTGCTGCTCACACTGCACAAATCCCACAGCTGAGCTCTGCGTGTTCTGCCTGCTCTGCTCTACATCCACTGGAAAGGCAACTTCCAAACACAGACATTAAATTAATATGCTCAAAGCAATTCAGGGTTGGGAGTAAATTTTGCATGCAAATCTGAACTGGAAACTGAAGTGTTTAAGCTTAGAATTGAAACTGAACCCACAACAGTGTGTGCATAAGCATAAATAGTCTGTGTTAACTGATAAGATGTTTGCAGAGGGTTTTGTAAGGAAACAAAATTGTTGCATTTGGAGCTACAAGAATGTTCTGTTCTTCTGCTCGTTTTCAGATGAAAAAGCTAGCACGAAGGCACCAACAGCAGCAGGAGCAGCAGAACTCGCAGCGACTAGGGCAAGGTAGGGGATTTGTGGGAAAGCAAAGTGAGAGAGAAGGAATCTGCAGCTGTCTGTCAGTGCCATTCCCACATGACGCTTCAGTACAGCCACGCAGGGCGCACGCAGGGCTGTGGGCGAGCTGTGCCATCGGCAGGGGAAGGACACAAAGGTGTGCCCGAGTGCCCATGACAGGTTACTCCGAGTTCTCCTGGTGGGATCAGACCCCAGAGGTGCTCATGCAGGAGCTGTAACCTCGTTTCTAGTAGGAATGTGCCGCGTGCAGGTGTCTGCACTGGAGGAAATCTCCAGGAGGCTTGCTCCTGACAGATCCCTCAGTTTGTTTTCTTCTGCAGAAAGGGGCACAGTGCTCAGCTGGCCATCTGCACAGGCATCAGCGTTACTGCCCCAGCCAAGGCACAGAGAGCCCATCCACAGAGTGCCTTCCTGGGGCAGGCGCTGCACCCAGGAACTGGAACTTGCTCTGCTGCTCTCGGGGTACCCTTGAGTGTCTCCAGCTCCTGTGGAGACCCTGCAGCTTCCAATCCTCGACTTTACCCACAGCAGAAAAACTGGGACCAGCAGGAGTTAGAGAATAACTGGGCTCTGTCAGACAGAGTATGTGGGCTTTGGGAGGATAAGGACCAAGACCTAGGAGCTCCAGAAATTATGTAGAAATTGCAAGTCTTTCAGCTCATTGCTCAGGGCTCTACGCTCAGACAAAATCTGGAAAGTTTCTCTGACTGACAGGATACCCCTGACTGCATTTGCTAGGGTTCATTGCTGCCACTGATTCTGCCCTGTTCCCCAGCAGTAACTGTTCCTCCTCTTTGCTTTGCAGAAGTAATGTCCAACCGAATGGAAGGGATGATGACATCTTACACACCACTTGCACCACCACAGCAGCAGATTGTAGCAATGGAGCAAAGCAGTTATGGCACAGACCCATTTCAGCAGGGTCTTACCCCTCCACAAATGCCAGGCGACCACATGAACCCCTATGGTAAGGCATGCCTCATTCTGCCACATCCCAAGTAGCTGGGTCCGTGTGCTGGATCACACTCCATAGGGGCAGCAGCTTTACTCGCTTTTAGAATATTTTTTCTGGGATTTGTACCAGGGAATTTGTACCAGTCAGTTTTATGAGTGTATTTTCTTGTACACATAAGGGGGTAGAACAGAGCTCATCTCAAGCTCTGAATGCCTTTCAGAACTATTTCATAGTATAATTTTGATAAACAATAAGCAAGTAACATCAGCTCTCCAAGCTCCACTTTTTCAAGCCACTGTCCAAGACACTGAAAAATAAACAGTACCAAATTCTAGCTCCCTCACAAATTTTTCCTTTTTTCTTAGAAGCTTTGAGGAAAAAGTGCCTTCAATAAAGAGAAGTAATCTATTCATTACAAAATGAATAAGCAGCCCTGTAAGACCACTCAGATTGGATGCGTGGATTTGTTAAAGAACAGTTCTTGAGCTACTAAGAGATGGGTTACCACAGGACATTTCTCCTGCATAGTTTTATTCTCTGTCCCAAATCAAGATGACGGTTTGCTTTCACGATTGCTTGACCCCACATCAAACGCATTACAAGCACTAAAAGCTCAATTATTGGCTCTGGACAATTGCAGTGTGGCATTTAAAGAGAATGCCAGAGGATTTTTCAGACTGTGATCCTCGGCCTTGCGGTAGCCCACAGGGGCCTGTTTCAGACTCCCTTCTGCTGACCAGGAGCACTTCACTGTAGAGGCTCAATGCGCATCACTGCCCCAGCACAGCGTGCACAGGCTAACAGGAATCTGCTTGGGGTCTGTGTCATTACTTTGGCCACTGAGACAAGTCCATGGTGCACACCAGGAAGTTGGGGAGGTCCTGTAAGGAGCTGAGGAGATACGAAGTGCCCTCGAGCATTAGATGGCTTGTGATTTTGTTGATTTGCTTGGCTTTCTGAGTGAAACTCCTTGGGAAGTAGGTTCTGTGCTCCAAAAGGGGTGCAGGGGATTGCACAAAGCCCTTTCAAATGAGTGTGTGAGGAAAAAGAACCAGACTAACACTTTTGCAGAGCCCCTAGGACTTGAGCTAGAGCTTTTTCTGGTACCTTCAGTGTTGAAGTAAGCTCCAAACTTAGTTGCTAAGGGAAATACAAGGTGCTGTTCCAGACCAGCCCTAAAAGAGTGGAATTTTCTGAAGGAGAGCATTTTTACAGCTGTAGCTCACTTGAGGCCAGGGAAACTAGGTCTCTTCCTGGGTCCTGTCACACTGGTAGAACTTTTGCCTTGTGTGTATATGAAGACCAGTATGATTATGGCTCTTAGACCATGCCTCCCTGTCATGGGCACCCTGGTTCCACCTTTCTTGACAGTCCTGGTGCTCCCATGAGTGCTGGAGCCCATGGAGAAGCTGGGGACCTGCTCCTCCCCAGCACCGTCTGCTCCTGTTGGCTGAGTCAGCCAAGGCTCTGTTTTGTGCTGCTGACTGAGATTGAAATTAAACCCTGGCAGGTTTGGGCGCACTGCTGCCGGCCGACCCCTGCGGGTTGATTTCAAGCCCTCCTCCTTGTGGGTCAGAGCTTCGTGGCCAGAGCGTGTTAGCATGTGAGCACGGGAGCAGGAGTGTTCCGCTCGCTGCAGCACGCGAGCATCCGTGCGTGCTGTGTCCTCCCGGCTGCGCAGCGTCCCGCCTAACGTGTGCGTTTCATTTGCAGGAAACGACTCCATTTTTCATGATATCGACAGTGATACCTCTTTAACTAGCTTGAGCGACTGTTTTCTTGCCTCTTCCGAAGTTAACTCCATGCAGGCTAGAGTAGGAAACCCCATTGACAGGCTGTACTCTATGCAGAGCTCCTATTTCGCCTCATGAAAGTAACGAGAACTAACAGCCGGCGTGCGTGTAGCCAGTGACTTTTCCAGTGCAGACTCTACAGCCATATGTTGCCCAGCTCTTCCTTCACAGTGACTCTGCTGCCTCTGGACTGCAAAGAGCATTTTTTTAGGAAGACTGTCTCTGTTTGCATATATGTGTATGTATGTACATATATTTTAATACCTACATACATACATATATAGAGAGACAAAACACATCCACCCGTCCCATACCCTTGATTCCCAGCTGGCGCCAGACCACGAGACAAGCACGGAAGGAACAGAAGAACCTGCTCGTCCTCAGCCTTTGATCTGGTTTGGTTTGAGCTCATCATCTTAAAAGAAATGGATTTTGTGGAAAGCTAGACCTTTTCCTCCTCTCTCTTCTCCTTTCTTTTGGATGTCTAAACTTTTTTTTTAGCCACTGATACTGACATCAGTCAACCATATGACAAATAAATCAAAGAAACTGGAGATTCCTCCTTTTCTTACTGCATGATTCATACTATGTTGTGGATAAATTTCCATTTGAACTGTGAGAAGTTAATGTAAATGTGACGTTCAACATTTGTTTCCTTTCTACACTTTTTCTACATAACCTAGATCTGCTCATTAGTTTATAGCCCTTATGCGTATGATACTGAGGAAACTGGTTAGCAGTATTTGTGGAAAAAGCCGGTGATTTCAGAGTAAGAAAGGTCTATGACCCTGGAGAGGAGATGCATGTTAGGGGCAGAGGCATTTAGGTTAGTATTGATCTTAAATAATTAAAACTAAAGGTGCTTACAAGACAGATCTATTTAATTTTTTTCTGAAGTGTGAGATTAAAATATTTACATTTGTTTGTAAGTATTGCAGTGCCAAATTTCAAGACTAGACCATGACTGGCAAAGAAGTGTTTTTCATTCTGTTCTGTTTATTTCTTTTGCATGAGGCATAAATGTGCTGTTCTTTATTGCTCATCTGGAATAATTAAGCACTGCTTTAGTTACCTTGCCTCAGCAAGAATCAAGGATACACAGTTCTAGCCTGAAACACCAGAAGTCCTGAAATGTGCACCAGCCAGGAACAGCAAACTGTGAAAGAAATGACAATGGAAAGTTCAGGTAGGTTGAGCTGAAATTTTGGCAGGGCCTGCCAGGACCCCTGGCTGTGGTGCCAGCTGAGTGAGCAGTGTGAGCTCCGCAAGGACAAAGGGGTGGCCCAGCTGGCGTCTGTCTCTGATGCTGAAGTTTGAGCATTTGTCATATAAATTTTTGTAGGGCATAAAATATCATAAATAATAATAGTATAGCTATAAATATTGCCTGGTGATAATTATAATGTGGAGAAGCAGACAAGTACAGTCATGGCTCTCAGTAGAGAAAACTTCATGGGGAATATTTGCCAGGGTAATATCAGTAATTATAGGGTGTGTTCAAAATAGAGCTCATGGGGAAAGATTGGCAGGATAGGCACTTTCTTAAATAAATACCTTTAATATATTGACCGTAATAGCTGAAAAACAAGTCCAAAGCTTTCGTTAATCTAACTCCTCCAGGCTGAGGACTGGTACCAGGCCAGCGTGGCAGTGTCCCTGTGGGGTTTGGCATCTTCTGTGGGAGCGTGGGTCTGCCATGGAGGGGGCCAGAGCAGGACCCCCGCAGCCTCAGCAGGCAGGGAGGGAGCAGCCCCCCGGCAGCCTCGGGGAGGGCTGCGGGAGCCCCACTGGGCGCAGCTGGTGCAGACAGACCCTCCTGGTGCTCGGGGCACGCCTGGGAAGGGCAGCAGGATGGGGCAAGGGAACAAATACCATTCCCCCAGCATGGAAGTGTGCCCTGAGCACGTTGGACGTTTCTTGAGAAAGCCAGGTGTTATCTGCAGTGTAAGTGCA